GACATAAAATATAATCCTAAGCAATACCTCAGCTTGCGAATTACAGTTCCTAGAGTTAGCAAACTCCGATTTATGTGGCAGCCTTCTTTTAACCTTGTCCCGGCAGATAACGATTGTGATGCACGTTCACTTCCGGCCAGATCAACAAAATTCTGTATCACAAGGAGAAAATGGCATTTTTTGTTGAAAAAAAAAAACGAATGACATTTTTCTTTACAGAAAAAGGGGGGAAAAAAATGTAAAAGACATACCACAGTAGCTGTAAGAGTGCTTGCATTGTCCCTGCCTAAAAACTCACGTGAAGAGCTTTCGATCGTCTGCAAGCAACATTTTAATCATTAACACTCCAACGATTCAATGTATCCGAAAGAGATTTTATAAAAAGCACATCTATAATTGTATTTTTATGTTTGATGATATAGAGTATATTAGAGAAAAAAAAAATAATAATAATTTAAGAAATAGCAATACCAGTCTAATAATCTGGTGGGATCTGGAGCTCATTTCATTAAGGGATGTTTCTCCAATTTGTCTTTGAGCTGCAAAAATTATAAAAAAAAAATACAATATTTTTCAGGATGTAGAGTTCAACTAATGATTTCAAATTAATTCTCTCTAATAAAATCCACCACATTTCTTTTTATGGTTTTAAGCTAATCTGGTGATACAATATCAAAACCATGCGCTCCATAATTTCGACCCAAACTTTTGCTCTTCTCGAGATTAATCCAAATTCGTCAATGCAAAATGCAGCTGAAGTGTAGCCGTTATTAGTACCTTCACATATGGAAAGGAGGTGAATCACATGATTCCAGTCCTTCAAAATTTCCTCGGTAAGCTTCTCAACTATGGTTCCTCTCTATAGAGAAAAAGGGAAATTAAAAGGGGAAAAAAAATGATGTGATCGAATTATATCGGTAGAAAAAGAACTCACCTCAGGATCATCAAGGAGTCTTAGTGGAGTAGTATCTACACTTAAGAGGTCCCTAACAGATTCATTGTATATCTCCATAGCCGAGAATTTCAACACAAAATTTCTTTCTGGGTGCTGAAAATATCTCAAATTAGCATAATAAGCACCGCAAAATGTGTAAAGTAGCATTTGATTTCGGTTTTACCTTTTGTATATAATCATATATGTCAGCTATTGCAAACTCGGTTATTCCAGTCATCGTGAATGTCTTTCCACTGCTCGTTTGTCCATATGCAAAAACACTTGCTACAGAGAATATTCATAGATTGGCGAAAACGAGTTACCAAAAATTAAACATTGGAAAAGAACTAAGAAACAAAAAAGGAAATTAAACAAGCTAGATTCGCTGAAATCGGAAGATCGAAAACTTTTACTCACAATTAATTCCATTGACTACTGAAATCGCAACGTCCTTAGCTCCTTTCTCATACACTTCTCTAGTGGAGCAATCACTCCTAAAAACTCTGTCTGCAAAGAGAAGAAGAAAAAAGTGAAAATAATAATTAAAAAGAGTAGATCTTCAAAATCATGGGATTTAGGGACAAACTTGCACTCTAACTATGCTTAACAATACATAATTGTTCATCCACAATTGCACTAACCTCACAAATTATGCAGTAACTAAATTCAAACACCCACTAAAAAATAAATAAACAAGGTACATTTCGGCATTTTTACTAACACACAGCTCCCAGGGGAAGGATCATTTAACAATTAGAATGAAAATCAAAGCCAGAAAACAAGAAACATGATGATGATCTTCTACTGTAAGGACTTTCAGACAAAAAAAAA